CAGGTGGGATTTCACAACAGATTGAATTGTAGCTCAAGTTAAGCAGAGTCAAGCCACTAAGATGACCAATCGAGGATGGTATGTTGCCAGAAATACGATTACCTCCCATGTATAATTTTGAGAGCACCTTGGAAAGATTGCCAATGGATTCTGGAATTGCACCCTCCAAAAGATTGCCATCGAAGGCGAGAAATTTAAGACGAGAACTATTTGTCAAAGAAGTGATGAATCCAAGACCATCATTATCCAAGCTAACAATTTTATTGAACCCAATATTGTACATTTCTAGGAATGGAAGATTTCCTAGACCTGGAGGCACTGTTCCTTCGAGAAGGTTATGTGCCATTCGTATGATCTTGATATTGGTGAGATTGTGTAAAGATCCTGGAATTGTTCCAGTGAATTTGTTGAAGCAGAAATTGAAACCCAAAAGATTTGGGAGTGTGTCCCCAATATCAGTGGGAAGTTTACCCCAGAGATTGTTTGAAGCTAAGGCTAAATAAACTAGGGAAGACATGTTGTAAATGGAAGAAGGAACAGTGCCTGTGAGGTTGTTAATGGTGAGATCAAGATACTTCAGATTTGAAAGACGACTCAAGTCACCAGGTATCTTGCCAGTAAGAGTATTCGTGCCTAGATTTAAAGTGCTGAGAGACGAAAGGTTTGCTATGGATGGTGGAATTGCACCTGAGAGAAGGTTTCGTCCCAAGTTCAAAACTTGGAGCTTCATAAGGTGGATAAGTTCCTTAGGCACTCTCCCTGTAATCTTGTTTGTCATCAAGTCGAGTTCTCTGAGCTCAGTCAACTTGCTAATGTTTCGTGGTATTGCACCTTCTAAGCTGTTGAAGCTCAGGTTTAGAACTCTCAAGCGAAAAAGATTACCAATTTGGTGTGGAAGAGCACCTCTCAGTTGATTGTTTTGGAGTTCGAGGGAACGAAGGAATGAAAGATTGCCAATCTGAGGGCTTATGGATCCTACGAGTCCAAAGCCAGAAAGATTAAGAGCAACCACTCTGTTGCCAGGTTTGTTGCAGAGGACCCCCGTCCAATTGCAGGGGGATGAGTTTTGGTGCCAATAAGAAAGGGGGTTTGGAGGCTCCAGACTCATTTGAGACTTGAATGAGATCAAGGCCTCCTTGTCTGTGACAATGCTTAGAGGGACTGACTCCAAACAAAGACATATGTATTTGGAACATACAAGAAAAGCTAATAAGGCAAAATGCAGGTGGGAAAAGAAATTCATGTTTCTTTGAATTGCATGAACGAGTATTGGGTTCAAAATGCAGGTGACAGTATTTATAGCAATCTGACTACTCTTTAGCTTGCTTGCAGTTCTTGCCCTTTTTCTTTGCCACGTATAAAACTTGTTAGACTTGAGATTTTCCTGGAAGTCTTGTGTCTTTTGGCTAGAATTTTCTTTGAAGACTTGTTCTTTGTCTCTGCAGACTTCAGTCTTCTGCGGTTTAATGGCAGGTAATTGGGCATGCTTAGGCTGACTTAGTACTTGTTTACGTTGACAAATGTTGATCTAGTTGGCAGTCTGTTAACTTAGCTTAGTGCTGGCCATAATACTTCATGCAGATTTGTCTACCAAATTCTGAAGATATGCTAGACATTTTTGTATTCTTAGCCTTGTATATATATCAGCAGTTCAATGAATGAAAATCTGAATCAGTTCTGCAACATGCCTCTAGTTCTTCCTTCTAATTTTGTATTGCTATCTGATAAACTTGAAAAACTAGAGGAAGCCCTGAAGAGTAATTGTTTAACGTCCTTGGTCAACTTTCAGAGCTTCATTAGGAACTTCACAGTTCACATGCAAACATCGCAAAATGAAAGTATTCTGCTAAACTGTTAATTTCTAGAATTTTGCTGCAATCACTAGTTATCTTCGGGTGACACTACTAAACAAATCTGGTTCTAGCACTATCATGATCTCATGATATCATTACCATTCATATTTTTAGTATCCTGTTTTAAACTTGTAGCAAAGACAGAGATGCGTTCTTGTTATACAAGGTAAAATTTCAGAAATTAAATCCCGTGTATATTTTTTTTTATCAGAAATTAAGAAAGGGAAGAATAAAATCTGTTGCAAACTAACAAGCATCAGGGCTAGCAAATTTACCAATGCCGGATATCCCGCGTTATCAATCTCAAGATCAGCTAGTGACGGGTCAATATACTCCAATAAGAGAGCCAGCTGGGAGTCTTTTACCGGCACAGAATGACCTGGTCATTCCAACCCCAACCCACTTTGTCAAAGTCAGTGACCACAATTAATATCATTCCTCTTATATTACTTCTATTGACCCATCATCGCAACGTCTCATCATTAGTTGACGTGCACGTTGAAGTGGAGTTACCTAATTTTTTTCGAAAGTCAAAGACCCATTATTGCCACGTCTCATCACAGCGGTTTACGACGGAATCTTATAACTCGTTGGCGTGGACGTTTGGGTGGAGTTAACTGATTTTTATTGAAAATTAAAAATTAAATTTTTTAAAAATTAATATATTATTTAAAAATTTATAATAAATAATAATTTTATATAATATATAAATTAAAAAATTAAAAACAGTTTTTAAAAAATTATATTCGATAATATTTTTTAAATTTAAATTTATCAATTATTAATTTTATATTAAATATATTTAATATAAATAATTAAATTATTAATAAAAAATTCACCATCTATTGAAATTTTACTATTACAATTTTTATTATTTAAATAATTTTTTTATAATTGTTATAGGAATCAAAAAAAATAAAATAAAATAAATTAATCTATCAATCAAATGATAATTTTTTTTATTTCTCTTATTCTAACACAATTCAAAAAGTGATTTTCAAAATCTTGATAAATCGTAATACTTTAATTATAAAATTATTTTATTATTTATATTAATTATTAAATAAAAGTTATTTTAAAAATTATAAAAAATATATAAAAAATAAAAAATTTTAAAAAAGTTTTGTACTAAATTCGGAAAAGTCGTATACTACCTTCATTCTTTTATTAAAAAATATATAATAAATAAAAAATTTTAAAAATTTTGCGAAAGTCACGCTCTCATAAATAGTCTATCCTCCGCTTCTTGACTTACCGGCACTTGAGTGGGTTGAGAATAGGTCAAAGCAAGTGAATCAACTTGATCATTAACACACGGTTGATTTGACGTTGAAGTTTATGATCACCACAAATTTCTCGAAGCAATCAAAGCAATGGAACTTTGGGCGTGAATACTCTTTACGGGCTTTTTCTTTTTATTCGCCTCGAGTTAAAGGGGCATGAAGTCATGAACCTGTAAAGAAGCCGAGGACCTGGATCCGATCCTGAAAATCAACCTCTCCCTTTGGGTGACCACTGGGCCCAGAGCCGGTGGTCGAATTAGCTTTTAACCGCTTGACGTACTGAAAAAGCGTCAAAAATTATAGTCACAGAATCAAGGATAAATACAAGCACAGCACATAATAATCTCAAAGCAAGACGACACTACCCCACCAACACCAAATCTCAAGGGAACCCAGCAAAAAACCATGGGTAGTACACTACAGAATCATGTCTAGTGTTGGTTCATTGTCGAGATGGATGAGGGTGTAAACTGAGACAAATATAGTTCGAGGAGTGCTCGTCCTCCTGGCTGCGTATCTGGAAAAGGATCATTCCCTGCCACCACATATTTCAGTCAATTTTGTCACAAATTTCGTATATAGAATGGTTACATTGCTCTCTAGGTTCTAATTAATGTCAGAGTCCAAATTCAAGGACCTAAGTTTTTGCTAATTAAAACAGTTATATAAACGTTAGCTAAGCTCAAGAAATTAAAATCTGACATTACAAAAAAACGTTTAGGCTTAGTGTAAAAAGTTTCACCAGTAAGAAGTATATATATATATATATATATATATATATATATATTCCCTTAATTAACAAATGAAGTGTATGAGTAAAAACTTTTTCACATCTAGTTAATAAACAGTAAATTAAAACTGATCATTTATACTTTTTTGTTTCATTCCCTCTACTTAATTTGTTCGTTTCCAATGCCTCATTAGATTTCTAAGAAGCTAGGAACTAGTCCTCAAAGCCCACGAGAGAAAGACATGGGTATATCATATCTGCTCTGCCTATGTCAACGAGAATTCAATCATCACCAGTTAGTTTCGTCATAAAATCATCTCAATCCACAAATACCTGTTGGATAGAGCTCAGTCCAAGGGGACAAGTTGCCAAACTCAGGGCGTTGCACAATATTGTCGTTCTCCAAACCACTTCGAGGGCTCAACTGATCGTCAACATTTATTTCCTCTCCATGAAGGAGAGTCGATTGCGGTGGTGGTAAGATATTTTCAGCACCTGGTTGTGATTGATCTCTGCAAATGATTAATCGAAGGAATATTTTTCCATTTGATTAAGCGAACAAATAAATTTAATTATGCTAATAAAATCTATATATGTATGCACATAAGTTTCCTATCAGCACCTTGGCGGAAGAAGACCATTTGAACCCAAAAAGTTCAAAATCTGAACCTGAGGGTCTCTTTGCGGTATCCATTCCAAGATACTGCTTGAACTTCCAGTAACAAAACCATTTACATCTGCAGTCTCTGGAGGAAGATGTACCTAGCAATAACATTAGCAAACTAATTCTTTAGATATGTAAGTATTTTTTTTCTCATAACAACTACTGCTGATATTTTAATCAAGTTTTATGCAAAGTTTTTATGGAAAGATCATTCTAAATACCTGTGTAGTTGGTGGTGGACCAGGCGAACTATATTTTTCCTGTAAAACTTGCTGTTGGGATCATAAACTCATCAACTCTTATGCATATATATTTAGGCGGCTAAGGTTGTCAAGTATGCAACAGATCATACATACCTTGCGCAAGCGCACTTGCTTCAATGTTTCCTCTAGGATCTGCTCGTGGAACTCAGCCTGACACAAGGTTGTGATTTCGGAGGGATCACCTTCAAATATCCTGAAAGAAGGTTCCTGTTAATTAATTTCAGGGAACGGAATGAGATTAGGGTATTATTACCCTATTGGTGCTAATGAAAGAGTACCTTAGTCGTCTCTCCATGTCCACAATTCGGGACTTGCATTTAAGGATCTCTTGTTGAAACTCCTAAAATTTTAGTGAAATGATATGGTTGCTTACCAGAAACTTATAAAGAAACTGACAGTCATTAGCTTAAAAGAAGTTTCTTTTGGCCAAATACCTCAAGTTGGGAATCAGTGCTTACTGGGCTGCTTCACATAACAGCAACAAAAGACAGAACTTTATAAAGGGAGAATCAAGTTTATAAACTAATGCTAGTTAGACAAACAGTTGAAACTGAGAAACGAACGTCAAAATACAGCAATGTGAAAATAGGGGCTTTAATTTGGAGAGGGGAAGAATTTCAAAACCTGGCTGCTTGGCAGGATTGATCGGCTTCACCCCTTAGCTTACCAAGTGCCTTTAGTAGAAACTGCAAATTAATATATAAAATATTTGCATCTTAACCAAATTCATAAGCCTAAAGCAATATGGTGGGCACTAAATGATAATGTTCAGAGGAAGGTGTCTTACCTCTTTATTACGCAGTCTTTATGTATTGTTGCATGGTAACAAGCCAACATTTCCACATCAATGAAGAAGACATTAACACCATACGAATATCAGCAAAGAAAAAGAACTCCAAAAAGTTAAATGAGCTTCCCTTACCGTCCTCGCTCATTCTCTGAAAGATTGACAAACCGTCCCAGAATCTCCTCAATGCTTCAATAGACCAAAAACAAACCATTTCACTCATGCTGCAAGATGGAGCCTTATGTAACAGAATTTTGCTAGAACTCAATGATGTATAAGAAAACTATTCTCAGTTCTCTTTTCTCACCTTGTTAAGATTGTGATCAATATCTGACAACTTAATAATCAAGATAATAGATAACAGTACCTTTTTTTCCCGGAGAAGAGACTAATTCTTCCAGACGGAGAAAACATGATCAGAGCAACATCAACATCACAGAGAACAGAAAGCTCGTAAGCTTTCTTGATAAGCCCGTTTCTCCTTTTTGAGAAAGTGACCTGCCTGTTAGTTGTATTCTCAATCCTCTTGATCTGGAGCTTTACTCTACCCATCTCTCTAATTAGTCCCTCTTTAGTTCTTGGGCTTTTGCTTTCTTTTTTCAAACAAATCTGTACCGCTTAGGGAAGATGACTACAAGTAGAAAAATATTGTATGTCGAGGAGAGGATCAAATATACATCACCATCACTTATATTAGAAAACTGTGGAAGAGTGGAACATATATTGATATTAGCCTCTTGGAAATGAATAAATGAAGGCGAAGGGTTTAAAAGTAAGATAAGGTGAGGAGAAAGAGCCAAAGAGGGAAAAGAAGAAGAGATGACGACAATAAATCAATTTTGTCACTGTCAGGCAATTCGCAGAAGAGTGACGAGAGAGAGAGAGAGAGAGATGGCGGTGTGAGGCCAAAGACTTTCTTCTTAAGGATATGGAACATGAAATTTGTACTTCAACATCTAAACTTGCTATAAAGAAGGTCGATTGGTTAGCAGATTACCAATAAAAAAAAAAAAGTTTTTGACCCGATTATGTATACGTTGAGATGAATATATAGTAGATGGTTATTTATTTCTCAAGCATTTCATGGTTTAGGATGTCTTCCTAATTAATTCCTTATTTTGTTATATGAAGAAATCCTAAATGAGTGAGATGAAGTGTTAAGTTATTATACCTCAAAGAAGGCATCATGCATTCATTTTAGGGGAGACTTTTTTGCTATGGTAAATGATGCACTAGCTAGATAAATTAAATGGTAAGGAGATAGCTGTAAGGTTGTTCCAAGTTAATGTTAGTAGAATTGACTGTTCTATAAACCCAAAAAAAAAAATAGTAAAGAGTTTATCCTTTGACTTGTAATTGATGGTTAATACTATAGTTACGATATAGCAATCAGTTATCACTTTGAAATCATGATGAGACTTAATTTATAGTTTAGTTATCTCTAGAAAAGTTAGAGTTTAAGATTAGGATTAACGTTTTATTCTCTAATCTTTTCCAACGTATACGTACTCAGAAAACTAATCACTCTTTGATCTTTAGAATATTGAATTTCAACATGGTTAAAAAACTACTACATACGCCTGTATATGTAACAAAGATTGAAGTCCGAAAACAAGGAAATCGAAGAAGTCAGCAAGAACTTGAGTTGCAAAAATTCTCGCATAAAAAGAGGAAGAAAGCATCTTTATATTTTTTGGTTTTGATCTGATCGAGGTAAAATATAAGGCATGTATTCCTAAACAGGTCCCAGGCAGCACATGGTGTCGCACTTTCGGTTGTGGCTTCTTTGGCGAGTTTGACGAAGACGATACACCACCCCTCCCCCCTCCCCGCCCCTTGTCTGCCCTGACACAGAAAAGCCAACTAAATTTGCAACGTGTCGCGCTTTTTTTGTCTTCTTCGAACCTCTGATTCTGCTCTCTACCTCGGCTGCCAGTAACTCGCCACACGTGTGACGCCCTTTTGCCACCGTCTGCATATTTCTAGCATGCAATCTTTGTCTTGTTTAGAGGAAAGGCTCCATTGAATGTCAACATTTAGCTATGCTCTCATCGGGTTTACCCAAGAATATTTTCCATGAAACTCACAAGCACATTCCAACAGGCCCATGCCTGGCAGATCTGACCAGAAACGGCTATTAGTCTCTTCCCTCGAATGGCAGGAATTCTGCACCAAATCTTCATTGACATTTGTCGTGTAAAGGCTAATATGCAATTGTCCTTGCAGCAACCTCTGTTGAATAAAGGATTAAAGATCATGCAGCTTTTGTTGCTTATTGTAAACTTGCAAATGTTGTAAATGTAGCTATTATCGGGCTATCTATGGCCTCATAAGCATTTGCATTCTTGGTGGGCCTAAAGCTGTACATTATATGGGCCTCATTTGAATGATGACCAGTCAGCTGTCCTTCGACCAAGAAATATGGGTTATATGTTGTCCCTAGTGCTGCGATTACACCCATTTTCTTATGTGCTCTTTATAAACAGTTTGGCATTCACAATCTTAGACCAGAGGATTTACAAAGAATAAATTCTTTAAAATACAGTAGAAAACCTTCCCCTATTATTATCACCATTTCCATCTTCATTCAATGGAAATCATACAAATATATTACTCAATTTGAACTCAAATTTCAGTTGCAGTCACAATTATATTAAAATCTCCATGTATACCCATTACCCAAATCGACATAAATCCCAATAAAAAATGCAGCAACCTCTTGGTAGTCTATGTGATTGGGCTCTAAGATTTAAAAGCAAAGGAAAGAAAGGTTGAAATGAAGGAGATTTAGGCATCTTGAGGGCTGCTTTAGAGCAAAGAGATGAAGGAAGATGGAGACCCATTGGTATTGCGAAACCGTCACCAGTAAGCCCAACGGCGATGGTGGGGGAAGCACGATGAGGGAGATGAGTGATGTGAGAAATAGCCTGTTGAGAGAGAAACGAGTGGAGGCGCGCCTTGAGGGAGAAAGAAAGGGCGAGCGCAGAAGGGGAAGCCACCGGCCAAGTGAAAGGGCGTGGGGGTTGGCCGGTTGCTGGTATTGGGTGAAGAAGGTTGGGGGTTTAAGTGCAAAGGTAAAGAACCTCTGGCTCATGGAAATGACTTCCAATAACTATTGTCCTTGACTTTTGACCTTTTTGATGCTAACCGGGTGTCCATTTCTGATTGATCATGTCAATTTTTGACGTTCGAACATCCAAAAAAGAAAGAAAAAGACTTCCACAAACTATTTTCCTGAAGAATTTCAGCATGTCTGACTGGAAGGTACAAATGTACCATCTATCTACCTAGTTTATAATCAAGTTTTTAATTAGATGAAGTGCTTCCAAAACATTTACCAAAAAACTTCTCATAAAACAAAAAGAAGCACTTCCAAAACTGTGGAAAATCTTAGTAATTATTTTGTTAACTCAACGCCTTATTTCACTCTTGTTGGACGGGGGGTGAACTTGTTAAAACAAGTAAAGAAGTTCTTAAAAACTTCCTAGTAAGGACAAGAGTGGTTTGAAGGCGGAGAAAAGACCACCAATCAGGCATTCACTATTAATTGACACCTAACGTTCAAAAAAACTTGCCATTCAATTACCGGCCAATCACAAACGAAACGGTTAGTTGTGGCACCACGAAAACCTACTAGTCTTCTCTACCATGACTCTCCCCTCTGATCTATTGCTACTTGCGACATCTCTCTCTCTCTCTCGTTATCCACAGAGCAAACATGTACAGGCCAGGGGTCATACCGTCTTCCAGCAATGCTCAACATCAACGGTGGCGAGAGACTTGGGCACGACTGCTAGCTCCTTTGACTTTATGGATATGTGGCATGTAATTCTTTCACATGTTTTGCAATTGTCTAGTTTCCCTGACCCTTGGGTCTGAAACAAGGCATTTCCTTTTTTTTGGGTTTTGCAGTGTCAGTAGGCCTCCGATATGGCTACTATGCGGATTGCCGTATGGCGCTTGGGCCAAGCTCTTCTCGATTGATGAAGGCTAGTTCTCTGTTTGTAGAACAGGTTGAAGTTAGAGATGATAATGGGAAAGGGGCTCTTCTTTATGGGTTCTCCGAGAAGCCAGAATTAAACAGGGAAACCAATTGGAGCTCTTCAAATTATTTGATTGTTGGATCATATGGTCGCAAGGTAACATAAGATTCTTTGAATTTGAGTTGGTACAGTTTCTATCAGTTTCTATCAGCTTCAAATTCTATAAGATTGAAAATTGAATTTCAGGGATACTATTTGTGGTTAAACAAGGGTTCTAGAATCTGCATAAGATGGGCAACTCAAATCAGTAGATTAGACAAAATTGAAGTGATTATGATAAAAGGTGTTTGTCTTGGTTTCTCTTTATTTTGAGTTCAGTTTAGTCCCTCTGGAACTTGGATTGGAACTTAGTCAGAACATGCCCGTCTTTCTGCAGGAGAAAGAAAACGTGAAACATTGCTGCCAAACCTTGCGACTTCCTTTGATGCCCTTTTCCTGAATGAGCCAATGAATGGTAACCCATCCTTTCCTTTTCTATCAATTTCAAACTAAATGGTTGCTATAAATGATGTTTGAGTCTACCCAGAATATCCTCCATTTTCATTTCAAAATGATTGATAATGTTTTACAAGTACGCGCCAGGTAGGGGTCGAACCTACGACCTTCTGCTTAGGAAACAGACGCTCTATCCACTGAGCTACAGGCGCTTTGCTAATTGTCGGAAAATGATTCCCTTTGTTGCATGTGAAGTGGGAAAGCAGTGGTGTCGAGAAATTTTTCAATCTATCATAGGATTTTTTTGCTTTATCTTAGCAACTGACAATAATTTTGTTTGCTAAGTCTTAGGTTTTAACAGAGAATTTTATTCCCAACTGGTATTTGAATGGTGCTACAGCTACTCCTTTTCAAATGCTCATACTGATTAATAATAATTACTTTGCGTTTCACATTTTCCATCCAAGTGTAGTTATGTTCTACTTTTGTTGTCAAATTTGTTCAAAAAGCATAGCAGAAACAAAAGGAATGCTAATCTGAGATCCAGAACCAGCATTAACCAGAAAGGATGCTAACAATACAATTAATTTTATGAGCATGGATTGCAAAACCATGAAAATGCAATAATGCAGCAACCTTCTCGTAGAAGAGTTTCAGATAGATTAGAGTGTTGATAGAATCCAGAAATGATGATCACAGAGTTCTCAACAATTTTTTTTTCTTTTTATTTACTCAGGTAAAGAGGCAGAGTACACCATTGAGGAAGATGACAAGTACTATGTTAGTGTGATTAGCTCTAACCCGAGAAGCATAATAATGACATTCAGTTTAAATGTTACATCAAAGGTTTATGATTTAACAAAAGCTAGCAACATGTGTTCAACACTAAATGGATCATGCCGGCTCAAACTTCTGTTTCATGACACTCAGTATGTCATAGTTTCAACACCTGACAATGTAAGGTCTCAACCCTTTTGTACTTCAATTAACTTTTTCAAATCATTAACGAATTTCTCCTGAGCATTAGGGCATGAAATTAATTTTTCAGGGTGACCTTGCTGGATCATACATTGAGCTATCCTTTGTTGCTCGTGTTATTACTTACATAGCAATTTTAGGTACTATATTCAAGTACAAACCTGAGACTTAATTTGATGTTCTCTCTGTTTTGAAATTACTTTTAACTGCTTTGGTGGCCTAAAAGATTTGTCATCTGTAGGTTTTTTCATCATTATCGTTTTCCTGGTGCTGAAATTCCTTGGAGCATGTGATGCTGAGACAACAGTAGTTCATACATCAGTTAGGGAAATACCCTGGAGGACTGAGACTGACCCTATTTTGCCGGAGAAACCAGTTCATCTGACTTATGGAACGACGGCAGAGGAAGACAATGATGATGCTGAAACAGGATCCTCTAGTAGCTCTTCAGAGGATTTATATGATGCAAAATTATGTGTAATATGCTATGACGATCAACGTAACTGCTTCTTCGTTCCTTGTGGCCACTGTGCCACTTGCTATGATTGCGCTCAAAGGTACAAATTGGAAAAAGTTCCTCTCTACAACATAATGATTCGCTTAAAATTTTCACGAACAAAAATTTCGCAGGATTATGGAGGAGGATAACAAGATGTGTCCAATATGTCGAAGACTCGTTCACAAAGTAAGAAGATTGTTTAGTCCCTAGGAGCAAATGAAATGGGATTGTAAATTCATGTTTGCACTGTCACTCGGAGAGAGGTGGGGTCTTGCCCATGGTAAATGGAGTGCCGTTTTGGCTTTTTGTGATTGCTCGGCCTTTATGCAAATAATGCCTCTCAAAGTTTATATTTCTCAGTCAAGCAGCATGGAGAATATATTGGCTTTAGCAGTTTGTATTTGTTTTGGTAGCCCGAGCCAGCTCCCTTCTCATATCTTTATCACTTGAGAAGGGCATAGTTGTGTATTAGTTAAATGAATATAAAGTGATTGTGGTATCATTCTTATCCATTTGTTCTCAGAAAAGCTTGTGAAGCAGACAGGACGATATCCATTTCTAGACTGGATTCAGTCACTTACAGAGGACTTTGTAAGCAGCTTCAACTTCCTCTCCTCTTGTTTATGGGAAATGAAAGAAGTCAGTAATATAGATGACAATTTAACATGATACCAAAAAATTTCCTCACCAATGGTGACTAGTGAAGGATACATACATCGAAACCTTCTAGAATACATGTCCTTTGCTTTGAACGACTTCTTCACTTCGTAGGCCAAAAAGTCTCTGTCCCCATGGTGAAAATACGCGTTTGCTTAATTTGCAGCACCAGGTAATTTGCTTAAAGATTCCTGATGAACTTGTTTATCTTATTATCTTCAACGATTTTACCAATATGATGACAGCACTCAGGTGACATGTACCCATGGATTCTAATTTTCTATTCATACTGAGTTGATGCACGCACTGCTTGACTAGAATATTATGATGTTGATTGTTAACAAGAAAATTATAATTGTAGGCTTCAGTACTTTGAACTCGACAGAGGATGTACCCAAGGCAAGTGAAGCATCTTCTAATGTTTTGTGAAGGTTGATGTCATTAGGCCCCTTGAACCACATTGCTCCTCTGAAAATGTAATGACGAAATTCATATTTCTTCCATCACTATGTTGAATTATTTTGCTATTTTATGTTGGATGAATTATTTTATATAGTCTCTGACTTAACAAGAAAAGACAACAACAAAGTCATGGCTTTGGTAATATTTTTTGAGAAAGACCCATCCTAATGCAAACTCAAAGTTATGTTTGTCATCAACCACAGGTTCATTTCTCATCCTGTACTAGACTTTATGACCATCATGATTCAAATTTTGACCTTTCCATGGTTTTTTTTTTTATCAGCGTTTGGAAACACGTCTTAATCTTCAATTACAATCAATTTGGAAGCATAAATGTTTGCCTTCGCAACATCAGCAGTTAAAAGATTTATGGCAGTAGCGAACAGAATCCAAGGGCGGCCACATCGATCCCAGCATATTCTTTATGCAATTTTCCTTTAGTTTTGGTGTTTTGACTTTGCATTAATATCATTTAGTTGAATTAGCACTCCTCAATAGATAAGAGTAAGTAACTGAGTGGTTTGTCATACTTAAATATCAAATGAATCAAATATTTTTAAAAAACTGATTAAAATTAATCAAACATAAAAGAAGATTAAATTGATCAAATATTAAATTAATTCGATCAATTCAATTTTAAACCAATAGATTAAAATTTTATAATTTTTTTTATAAATTATAATATTAAAATTTATAAACTTCATCTATAATTATAAAATATATAAATAATCTAAACATTAAAAGATAACGTTTGTTCCTTCACTCATATAATTATATTTTTTTACATAAATTATCAAATTAACATTAAAGATTTAATACAATAAAAAATTAAAACCAATAAAATTAACAATTTAAATCTTCTCCATGACTTGGCTTTTCATATTTGCTTAAATAAGCTATCTAACAATTAAAAAAAAGTAAAAAAATATAATTAGTATAAATCTTTTTTATAACAATGTAAGAGAGAATTAAAAATAAAAAATTATATAAAAAGTCATAAAATTTAACATTTATTTCAATTGAAGTGTAAAATATACATTGTTAACTTCTTTCCTCATCAATCATTAATAACGGAAATGGAACCCACAATCTCAACCTATGACATATCTAAAATGTATAAATAAAAAAGAATTGAAAAAGGAAAAATATTAAATGTATATCATATTTTATATAACTTTAAAAATAATATAAATTTAGTATTATATATTGATATATATATACATAATTAGTTAAATTTTTTGGCTTGTTTAGTTTAAAATTTTTAAAAAATTAATTAAATTAAATATTTTAGATCAATTGCCCTAATAAATTAATTAAATCAAATTATTTAACTTTAATTTGAATGAATAATTTAACTGGCAATTCTTTTATAAATGATCCAATCTTGCTCAGGATCCCCACCCACGGCCAAGCCCTTTCTACTGTCGAGGCATCATCTAAATCCATGGAAGCCTCGATCTTCTACTACGTTGTATTCTTCCTCTTCCTGTACTTTCTTACCAAACGATTGCTCCAAGACAAAGGACTCCCACCAAGCCCTTCTCTTTCCCTTCCCATTATAGGCCATCTCCATCTCATCAAAAGCCCCCTCCATCGCACCCTTGCTAAACTTTCCCAGCAACATGGTCCTGTACTCTTCTTTCATTTCGGATCTCGCCCTGTCGTTGTTGTGTCTTCTCCATCTGCTGCAGAAGAGTGTTTCACTAAAAATGATGTAATATTTGCAAACCGCCCACGTCTGCTCGTTGGAAAACACCTTGGTTATGATTATACTACCCTTCTTTGGGCCCCGTTTGGCGATCACTGGAGAAACTTGATGCGTATGGCCTCTCTCGAAATCTTGTCATCTAATCGTGTTCAAAAGAATCTTGGGATACGTATGGATGAAGTCAGGTCTTTGATTCTCAGGCTTTATAGGAGTTCAAACGGCGGTGAGCACCTGAGCATTCTCAGGCTTTAGCTCATTGATTATTGCATTATTCTCCTGTTTAAATAGCAGAGTTCGAACCTCTCTTCAACAATTATTAAAAAAAAAAAAACGGCAGTGGGTTTCAGGTTGTGGAGATGAAATCGATACTTTTCGAGTTGACTCTTAATGTTATGACGAGGATGATGGCGGGGAAGAGGTATTTCAGAGAAGGAGACGAAGAGTTGGAGGAAGAAGGAAAGTTTAAAGAATTGTGACAGAGACCATTCAACTGAGTGGAGCCACAAATATTGGAGATTTTCTGCCGGTTTTGAAGTGGATCGGATTGAATAAAATTGAGAAGAAGCTATCACTATTACAAATAAAGAGGGATAGATTCATGCAAAATTTGATTGAAGAGCGCAGAAAATCAGTAACTGATTCATATTCCGAAAAAAGAAGCAAGACCCTTGCGGATGTTGTGTTATCCCTGCAAGAAACTGATCCTGAATATTATACAGATAATATGATCAGAGGCCTGATTCAAGTAAGCTTTCTCCTTTTTCTCTCTTTATCTATCCATTTAAATTACAAGTCTTCTTCTTCCTTGTAGAATCCAAGATCGGGTTTCCTGTAATTTTGGTTATGGATCCTTGAAGAAGGTTTATTTCTTTGTATCTAGGTAATGTTAGCAGCAGGGACAGACACTTCAGCTGGGACCTTGAAATGGGCGCTGTCGCTTCTGCTGAACAACCCAAAAACTCTTGTGAAAGCCCGGGAGGAAATAGACATTGAGGTTGGACAAAGCAGGCTGATCGAGGAATCAGATCTTGGCAAACTCCCATACCTGCATGGCATCATAAACGAGACATTAAGAATGCGCCCAGTTACCCCGCTAATCATCCGAGGGATGTACAGAGGGAGGTTTTCGTGTCCCACGTGGCACAATGCTATTGGTTAACATTTGGGCTATGCAGAGCGGTCCTGGATTGTGGGAAAAGCCCACTGAATTTAAGCCCGAGTGGTTCCATGGTTTCGAAGCAGAGAAGAATGGGTTCAGGTTTTTGCCCCTTGGGACAGGCCGGAGCAGGTGTCCAGGAGAGGGCTCGGCGATGCGTATGGTTCCATTGGCACTGGGCTCTTTGATTCAATGCTTTGAGTGGGAGAGAATTGGTGAAGAAATGGTAGACATGACTGAAGGGAATGGGCTCACCATGCCCAAGGCTCAGCCCTTGGTTGCAAGGTGTAGGCCGCTCCCAGCCATGGTGAACCTCCTCTCTGAACTTTAAGATTTCTTTTTCTTTTTGGCCAAGAAAAAGAAATCTCAACTTCAACATTAATAATTGTTATAATTGTCATAATTGTCATGTGATTATTGAATGATATATTTTAAGATATTCAAAGGAAAAAGATTGTTCAAATTTAAAATTTTAAATTTCTTCCAGACAAATAATAATCATCATGTCAAACTTAAATTGTTTTTATTATTTAACGTATCAAATCAGTCTAAAATCTGATTAGACTATAAAACTATATTTTATTCCTTGTGAAAGATGGGTTAAAACGATAAAAGGAAAGAAAAACTCAAGAGGTTTTAGTTTAAAACTCCTAAACGGGAGAGTACGTAGCTAGTTAAAAGAAAAATGGATTTCTAATATCCTTTTGAATATATTTACAAGCTCCATTAATTTCAGCTAGGATTGTCTTGAATAATACTACAAGTCTAGAAGCGAATAGAGTTAGGCAAGCTATATAGATCATAATTATTTATGTAGAAAATTATAATGATTCTTTTGCTTCATTCGGGAGATAGAAATATCGGTTTTTTAAACTATTTTTAATTTTGTCATACACTCGTTGCCCCCCAAGTATCCATCTGATTAGTCTGATTATTTTAATATTGAAGTATAATTATAATTTCAATAGTCATTTTTTTATGTCTTATTAATTTTTAAAATGAAATTCATGCAATTTAACAAATATGAAGTATATTTCTATTTTTTGGGTTTTTTATTTATTTTGATTGTTTTTAGTTGAAAATATATTCATGAATTCCATTGAAATGTCATGGCCTAAATTTTTCTTATTCATTATAGGTACTTTTTTGGTTTGACAGATACAGAAATTCAAGAATGTACCCGTGGTGCAAAATCAAGAAGTAATATCAGCAATTTAACATTAAAAAGATAGCATCCTGGTAGCATGCTTGCAGGTGACTCATTGTAGCAGAGAAGTGAACAAGGTGGCCCATGCGTTAGCTCAGACGGACAAGGAGACACCACACGATCAGATTATATGGCACAATATAGATTATAGGTCTATACAATTGCAATCCATTCTTGGACAAGAAATGTGTGAGCTCAACGAAGGGTGACTAGAGATATCTTGCTTTATGTAATGCATGATTTTTAAAATATTTTATTTTTTTTAATCATGATTTTTGTCTCGTTGGATTTTTTTATGATAAGGATTTT